GGTCATTCATCTGTATCCTTTTTTTGTTGTTTAGTTCTCTCATTTAAATATTATAGTTGTGAGAACTCAGCAAGATATTGCAAAATAGCCCAGTAGTCCATAATAGTATTGGGTCTTCCGCTTGACTGGCAATGTCAGAAGTAGTTGACCTGAGTCCCCTACAGCTCAACATAACACCATGGCTTTACTTCTTATACTTCATTTTTATACTTTTCTGCTGGATGGTTAAGACCAAGATAAACCAACACCTATGTAGCAAGAATTGTAGCTTTCATATCTGATAAGGTCAGTCAAATCCCCTCAGGATTTATCCTGAGACCCTCCCTGTACCTCAGCTTGTAGACCTTTTGTCAGTGTCAGCCATGTGGATGAGTCACGGCCATTGCTTGACCAATTTGCTCTCTGTGAAAGCCTGAGAGAATGTTTTTTCTCCATGTGACTCTCCTTAGGCACACTCTACATCACTGATCACTTTCCCCTTTGGCCCCACAATCTCCTTGATCAGAAAATTTGGGACACAACTGAGTTACATGATGTTACAGTACAGGTTCTCTTATGTCCTGAGTCTTAATTGACCTTGGAAGACTAGGGCCAAAATGTTGGCTGTCCTTGCAGCCCTCCTTTTTCTCTAATTTTGGTCTGCAAACTTAGGTTGTTAACCCTCCAGAAGAGAAGCTTATTATTATTACCATACCACCTAGGCTGCTGAGCTTAACCTCACTATCTGTCTGAATATCAAACATCTTAGGCATAACAAAACAAGTATTTTTCATCAAGTGTTGATATGTTAAACTTTAAGTCTCCAAAGAAGATGATGAAAAAAATTAAAATACATTTAAACAATAGGAATAAAGATTTGTATATGTTTACACATAAGTCCAGAAATCTAACCATATGCAGCATTGTAGCAGGACAGTCCCGCAACACTCCTAAAAATGTAACTTTTGTATCTGACAAGGTCAGTCAAATCTCAGTATTTACCCTGAAACCCTGTGCTGCAGTTTGTAGCTACTAACCTGTTTTGAAACTGTCTCATTGCTACTTCTTTCTCAATAAAATTAATAAAAAATAAATAAATATTTTGAACTACACTAATAATGAAATACAAACATTCTGTATGCATCAGTAGTAATAAAAACATATTGTGACACTTAACTAGCTGAAATGAAAGGCTTTATTACAGGCCTTTATCATTCTAATCAGAATCTAAAGGATTTATAGAGAAGTGACCAATATGGCCCTGGGAGTTTAGAACACTAGTGATGCTCAAATTGGTTTCTTTCAAAATAGCTTAAGTTTTGATGACAAAAAGATCTGCCAAGAAAGAAAAACATCCAACAATTTGGCTGTTACTTGCTCATTTTTTGAAAGCTTTGTTTCAAACTACGAAACAATTTGTACACCATCCAAATACCTAGAAAGTGACAAACAACTTACATTATTTCATGGTTGTTAAACTTTCTACAATATATGTCAAATAAATCTTTCAAATATGGTATAAAAATATATGCCGTGGTACATGAAAAGACATTTTACACCTCAAATTTAGAAATTTATCCCAGAGCTCAGCCACTAGTTCTTTATATTTGTACAGTAAAAACCATATGACATCATGAACCTATTTCAGAAATTAACCTAAATGTTAGGTTGCAATTGATGTTACCCATTGATATTACATTTGCTGAAAGAACTCCAATTAACCAACACAGGAGCTATTTGTAAGAACGAAGCAGGGATTCCTGAAAAAAATGTTGTAAGTCCAAAATAGTTTTCTAAATGTACAGTGCAATCTTTGTACATTCTAAATGTACAGTGCAATCTTTGGATTTCAGAAATATCTAACAATGACTTCAAAACACAGTAGTATTGTTAATGTCAAGATTACATAATAATGATAAGATTTATAGTAAAACCAAGTATTGTGGTATGGGCCTGTATTCCTATACTTCAAAGCTGAGGTAGGTAAGAGGAGCCTGTCAATTCAAGGTCAACCTGTGCTACACAGATCAAGACTAGCTTTCACTACACAATAAGACACTGTGTCAAAAAAAAAAAAAGAAAGAAAAAAGAAAAAGGAAAAAAGATTGATAGTGAATCCTCAATATTGAAGCCAGAAATATTAACATTTTACAACAAAATGAAAAGAAGAGTAGATATTGTTGACAAGTTATGAAGAAACTATAGTGTTTCTGCAAACTATAGTATTTCACAAAGTGTTTGCCAATGGTTATATTTTACTCAATTCTAAATATGTCAACCATAAATTGTTGCATGATTAACAAAGAAAATAACAGGAACAAAATATTAAGGAGAAATTTTCTTTGTGGACTGTGACAGGACTTGACAAATGATCAATTACAACAGAGGAAGAACAATATGTACCTGCCCAAGGAAGTCTTCAAAAGAAATCTGGAGCAGACTGATGAACAGACAGGCAAAATATCACAAGAACCTCCTATGAAAACAGGAAGACTGGCAAGATTTCAAGTCTGTCCTACCAAAAAAGACAGGAAAACAAAACACATATGCCATCAGTGTAAGTGATACTTGTGTATTGAACATGTGGTTTTCCCATGTGACATGTGGTGTCACATGGCAGGAAACCAAAAGCCACATCTGCAAAGTATTCACAATGATACCATGGGAAGAAACAAGGCAGATCAATAAGGCATTTGACAAACTCACAGAAGTTATAAGTAAACAGATACTGAGGCAAATAAAATTATCAACAGGCCTACAGAGGACACTAGGAAAAAGCTAGCAGAGCTAAGTAAAATGTTGCAAAACTTGAGTGAACAACATAGAAAAGAATTAGAGTCTATAAAAAGCTTAAACCAGAAATTCAGGAGATGAAAAATTCTATTGAAACTGTGGGCAGCAGAAGTGACCAATGTGAGGACAGAGTGACTAACTAATGAGAGATATCTTTATTTTATTTTCCTTCTTCTTTTTTTTTTTTCTTATAGAACCGGGGATTGAACTCAGGCCCTTGCACTTACTAGGGAAGCACTCATTCCACTGAGCCATCTCCCCAGCATGAGAGATATCTTTAAAACAAAAGAACCTGAAAAATGGATCTGTGCTAGATGCTGCCAAGAAGATTAAGGTTAAAATTAGTGAAAATTTGGGAGACAGCACAAATGCCATAAAAAAGCTTGATTACTAAATATTATCAAAGCATTATAAATACAGAAAAAGAACTTAACATGCAGATGACAGGCATGTAGAACCCAAATGGCCATGATCAAAGAACCTTTCCATGACATAGTCAAAATCCTGGAAGTCAAACACAAGAACAGAATCTTAGAATCACAGAAAAGCAATGAATCACTGATAAATGTAGACCTATTAGACCTACAGCAGACTACTTAAAACAAGCCTTCAAGCCAGGAAAGCACAGAGTGAAGTGTTGTAAGCCCTACAAGAAAATTTCCAACCTAGGCTGATACATCCTCCAAAACTATCATAAACATTGATGGTGAAATAAGATATTTTCATGATAAAGAACACTTAAAGAGATTCATGACCACCAAAACAGCACTTCAAAAACATGTCAAGAATATCCTGGGGGTGGAGAGCTTCCGGCTACCCTGCACTGGTGGGACCTACTGGTTCCAGCCCAGGCGCAGCGTGGGTGAGACCCTCTTCCACCCCCTTGGGATGCCTCCCACCACTCTGCAGCACCTCCTCTACACTGCCCGCTGAGTAGGAATTTCTGCCGCATTCCAGGAACCCCCAGACCCAGTCCTAGCCCAGGCCCAGTGAGTGTGTGGGAGAGCTTCTGGCTACCCTGTGCTGGCATGACCCAGCCCAGGCGCAGCGTGGGTGACACCTTCTTTCACCCTCTTGGGATGCCCCCCATCACTCCATAGTACCCCCCCATACCCCGCCCACAGAGTAGAAATTTTTGTTGTGTTCTGGGAACCCCCAGATCCAGTCCTAGTCCAGGCCTGGTGAGTGTAGGGAGAGCTGCCTCTCCCCCCTACTCCACCTTGTCCCCTCCAGACTCAGCTCAGGCCTGGCATACAGGCCTGGGATGAAACCCTTCAGCTGTAATCCCTGCAGAGACTGTAGGGGACAGAACCACCCAGCTAGTCCAGGAGCAGAACATCTTGCCAGAGGGGCAAAACAGGTTCACCCCCAAGGGCAGCAACAGGAAGGAACTGAGCAGAGCAGCCAGACCTAAGCCAGGCACAGCTGGATAAATCCAAACTTTGTAGATCTACACCTGAACTAAAGTAGCTGCTAAGGCTATAACTGCAACAAAGATCTACAACAAAGGTCAGAAGACAGTGTCACACAAAATGAAAATGAGAAGGAGCAAAATGCAACTTCAGAACCCAAGCCCACCCATAACAAGTGCAGAGGACACTAAGAATATCCTGGGGGGACAAAAAGAATATCCTGGGAATAGATAATGAAGTTAACATAACAAAGGTATAATAGAATCAATATGACAGGCAGGGTGAGCTCCTAAATAGAAGGAAAGAATGGATAATAAGAAAATAAGGCAATAAGAATAAGTCAAAACCCACTTGGTCACAGCTCTCATTATGAATGGTCTCAGTTCTACCACCAAAAGACAGATACTGACAGAATGGACCAAGAAGCAAAATTCAGTAATATACTGAATATGAGGAAACACATCTAATCTAAGTAGAAACAGACAAATAAAAGAATGGAAACTTCCATGCAACAGGAACTTGTTATACAAAACCATGTATAGTTATCCTCTGTTCAGACAAGGTGGACTTCAAGCCAGAACAATCTATCAGGAAGAGATAATTCTTAACATATATGCCCTGAACAACAGCATATCCAATTTCATAAAATAAGTACTAATGAACATAAGAGGTCAGATAAATATAAACATAATTATACTTCCTGGCACAGACTGCTTCCTGAGTAGATTCCCTTCTTCCTTCAGGTTCGTGCAGGGAGTAGGGGCCAGGCCACTACCTTAGCCGACTGCTACCATCACCTTGTTCCCACCCCTTGCCATGGCGGAAGAGCTATCTGCAGCCACGTCCTATGCTGAAGATGATTTCTGCTGTCCTGTATGTCAGGAGGTGCTCAAGATGCCTGTGCAGACTGCAGCCTGTCAGCATGTGTTCTGTAGAAAATGTTTACTGACCAAAATGAAAGAAAGTGGATACATTGTTCCTTGTGTTGTAGAAATGTGACTAGAAGAGACAGGATGTCCAGAACAGGCCTTAGATCTCGGAAACATCATGCAGAAGCTTTCTGGTAGCTGCAGATGTTATGCAAAACATAAGTCCTGTCTCATAAGACATTACTACAGATCTTGTAAGAAATATCAGGATGAGTATGGTGTTTTTCTATCATTGCCAACTTTCAGATTTCTCAAGGTTCTGTTGAGAACAATAATAGGCATGGGCTATCCACATCTGATAATACAGACGCTTACCAAAAGAATATAAGTTCTGGATGACCTACCCTTAAGTGTCTCTTTTCAGGAGTTTAATTTTACCAGACTGGATCACTGTAATAGTAACCACCTATTTCACATAGTTCCTGTGACACGTCCTATTTTTGTGTCTCTTCTTTGGGGATACCCTAGCCAGATTACTAGAAATTTATTTGGTCATCTAAATCAAAGACAACAGTTTGATTATGGAGAATTTGTGAATCTTCAGTTAGATGAAGAAACCCAGAATCTTCAACTGCTGTTGAATCTTTTAAGTAAACGTCTGAAGTCTGTACGTATCTTGAAGGAAAATTACCTGAAGTCATCGTTTCAGTACTTGATGTGTATATTAATAAAAGTACTTCAGTCTGTTTAAGTTTTCTAATTAAAAAATAAAGGTTGGCCACCTAAAATTTTTATTTCATCCTCTTGACAAGTTAAAAAAATGAAAGTTACACTACTACATTAAAAGCATGAAAAAGATTATATTTCACTAATGTGGTGGAAAGAGAATCCCTGTTATACTTCATCTCTTGGTATTACATATGACTGGATTTTTCATTACTATGTTGCTTTTGAAATTTGGTTCAGTTCCTCACATGTAGTTTTTTATACATAAGTAGCACAGTAGCAAATTCTGAAGGTTGCAATTGTTGTAAACCTAACAAATCTGCATTATCAGAGTTGCAGAATAGAAATTTAAATTGCTAAATGGAATAGTCCAAAGGAAGTTTTTAAAAATACATTCTCACTGAAGAATTCAACTGTGAAAAAAAATTGTATTTGTGTAATGGTAAGTATTTTTGAAAACTAGTGAGATTTTTCTTTAGCAATTAAGCTTTAAAAAGTGTAAGGTAGGGGCCTGCCCATTAGCTCAGGTGTTTAAGTACCTGCTGAAACAAAGCAGTCAGGCTCAGCCTGCTGTAGTTCAACCCCCTCATCCTCAAGCCAAACCAGACCTGCCCTGAAGGCATCCTGAGGAGGGGGTTCAGAAAAAAAAAAAAAAAACTCTTTCTAAAAAGTGTATGGTCATTATAAGGATTTTTTTTTCTATTAGCAGGAAATATTCAGACAAAAATGTATTTCTTTGATGAGCAGCAGGTCATTTCAATCCTGTTTATTTGACTAATTTGTATTTCTAATATATCCCAAGCTATATAGCCATTTTTTGCTCTCAAAACTTTGAATAGCCAGTGTGTTTCTCAATAGCTAAGATCAAACTTACAGTAGAAATTTTGAGGTGATCACATATTGTGTGGAAACTTAAGATGTTTAAATGCATTCAAAGCTAAAGATGTGTATGCATACATCTTTGTATGTATGTATGTATACATATACGTATTATATATATATATATATATCACATACATATCTTTGCATGCAATTTGTCATATTATATACAGAATTTCTATTAAAGATTTTTAAAATGGAAAAGCAATATAGAATTGAAATGTCTATCGGATTTGATTACAATTTTATGTCACTGAATTTTTAAAATGTTACAAATGTTAAATGGAGTAGTTGGCTGTTATTAATTACATTTTTAAAACTGAGTTTACACCGAGTTACCTGTATATGGCCCTCATTTGTTACTCTCAACGATATTGTGCAGCTGGCAAATGTTTACCAGGCACTATTTCCCTATTGAACAATGGACTTACTCCTTGAAAGAATAAACCAAAATAAATAAAGGCTTAGTCATTCTACCCAAAACAAGAGAAAAGAATCAAGCCAATGCAATTTAAATGAAAAAACTAAAATCACAGTGGACACATGAAATAAAATATTAACAAGTATTTTGCAAACCTGTATTCGGTAAATTGGGGAATTCAGAAGTAGATAGAACTGGTACATATGAACTATCAAAATTGAACCAAGAAGGTTTAAAAATTGCGAGTGATCCAATGAAAGGCAAAGAAATGAAGCAGTAATAAAAATCTTACCAACTAAGAAAAGCCCAAGTTAAGATTGATGCACTGGTGGTTCTCCAAAAATTTCTGGGAGAATCTAACACCTATACTCTTTAAGCTCTTTAGTGAAATTGAAAAGGAAGGACTGGGGCCAGGGAGATGGTTCAGGGGAATAAGTGCTTGCCTGGCAAGTGCAGGGGCCTGAGTTCAATCTCCAGTTCTGAAAAAGAAAAAAAAAGAAAGAAAAGGAAGGAGTATTCCAAAAGTCATTCCTGGAAACTAGCATGATTCCCAAGATAGGCAAGGATCCAACTAAAAAAGAACTATAGGCCAATCTCTTTAAAATATAACATAGGTGCAAAATCTTCTACAAGGTACTGGCAAACTGAGTGCAAAATTTAACAAAGTATCCTACATCATTACCAAGTAGCCTTTATCCCATGGATGTGAAGATGGTTTAACATACAGAAATCAATAAATGTAATGCATCACATAACAGAAGGAAGGACAAAAATCACATGATCATCTTAATAGATACAGAAAAAGCCTGTGACAAAGTCCAACATCCTCTAATGATAAAAAGGTTGAATAAAATAGGAATAGAAGGATCTTAACTCAATTTCATAAAAACCATTATGACAAACCTACTGCCCATGTCATATCAAATGTGGAAAAACTGAAGCTGTTTCTTTTAAAGTCAGGAATATAAAAGGATGTCCCCTATGACCATTCCTTTTTAGCATAGAACTTGAAACATTAGCAAGAACAATTATGGAAAAAGAAAATGGGTATGTGTAGGAAAGAAAGAAATCAAATTTTCACTGGTTTGCAAATGACAATCCTTTATATAGAAGATCCCCTGTCTAATCTTAGAATTCTAAGACTCTTGGAATTAATAACCAAATTTGGTGATAGCAGAATGCAAAATCAACACAACAAAAAAAACCCTCAGAAGTGTTCCCATATATCAATAATGCATCCACTGAGAAAGAAATTAGGAAAAAAATTACCAGTCAGAATAGCACCAAGAAAATTTAAATACTTAGGAATGAGCCTAATTAAGGAAGTGAAAGACTTCTATAATCAGAACAGCAGTGTTCTGAAAAAGGAAATTAAAGAGGACACCAGAAAGTGGAATAATGTTTCATGTTCCTGGATAGGCAGAACAAATATAATCAAATGGCATAATTCCAAAATTAGAATACAGATTTAATGCAAAGTGAATCCAAATTCCAACAGCATTCACAGAACTGGAAGAAACCATCCTAAAATTCATATTGAGACTCAGAATAGCCACAACAATCCATGATAAGAAGGAAACAGGGAGACATCACATTCCTGGACTTGAAGTTATATCACAAAGCTACAGTGATGAAAACAGCATGGTAATGGCAGAAAAACACGTGAGAGTCAGAATGGATATACAGAAAAAGGAAAAAAAATGCGTTCAACTATTTGATCTTTGGTAAAAGGGTCAAAAACACAGTGGAGGAAAGATGGTCTTTTAATAAATGACAGTGGGTTAACTGGCGATCAAGATGCAGAAGATTGAATCTAGAACCCTATCTTTCAGTACACTAACTAGAATAAAAATAGATCCAAAAACCGAAACAGAAACACTTAATCTGCTGGAAGATACAATAGGTAAAACTCATAAAGTTATAGATGTAGGACAGGACTTTCTGAAAAGACCCTGGAAGAAGTACGAAGAATCAGCAAATGGGAACACACAAAATTAAAGGGTTTTTAAAGCAAAATCACAAACAGAATGAAGAGATAACCTATGGAAAGGGATAAAAATCTTTTCAGTTATTCCCTAGAGAAAGAATTAACATAAAGAGAATGTAAAGAACTCGTGAAAATTCAACACTTCAAATAATAGACACAAGTAATGGGCCAGTGAAATGAATAGTCACTTCACAGAAGTACAAGTGGCCAGTAAATACATGAAGAAATTTTCATCACTGACCATTAGAGAAATGTGAATTAAGACTTCTGATATTTTAGCATATCCCACACAGAATGGCCATCACCAAGAAATCAAGTAATAGCAAGTGTAGAGAAAAAATGAACCTTTCCCTCCCCTTAGAGCAAATGAAAACTAGTACAACTAGTATGAAAAGCAATTTGGAGATGCTTCAAAAAGTTGAACAAACAATTTCATTAAATCCAGCTATTCTACTTCTAAGAATCTTCCTAGAAAAGTTAAGGACATCATAGTACAATGATACATGCATATCTGTATTTATAACAGCCAAGTCTTGGAAGCAGCTTACGTGACCATCCACAGATGAGTGGATAAAGAAAATGTGGAATTTACACACAAAGGAGTGTTACAGTACTATAAAGACAAACCCATTATTTGCAGGATAATGGACATAGTTGAAGATCATAATGTGAAATAAACCAAACACATAAATCTAAATAATGCAGTTTTTTTTTTTTTAAAATTGAAATCATTTATTTATTTATTTGGTACAGGGTCTTGTCACACAGCTTGGATTTCCTATCTCAGCCTTCCCAGCACTGGGATTACAGCTGTGCACCACCACACTTAGTGAACACCCAGTGTTCCAGGGCCAGATCAGTATGTGGTACTGGAGATTAAAAACCTGGGTTCTTGTGCTTGCCAGGCAGGTGCTTAGACCACAAAGCTATCTCCCCAGCCCTGCATGGTTTCTCTTGTATGAGAAATACAAATTATACAAAATGATTAATACAATATAGATAAAAGGAAGTAGGAAAATAGATCTTTCTCAAATGGGGAGATAAGAGATGGAGGCAAGCAGGGACTGGGGATAAAAACAACAACAACAACAACAACAACAACAACAACAACAACAACAACAAATTAACACATGTTTGAACATACACTGACTCCATGAAAGGAATGAAAACATTATGTCCTGGAAACATGTACTAATTTTAAATAACACAAGAATTCTCCATGAAAGTTTAGCAAGATCCAATTACATAGACTATTCACATAGCTACCATCATTCAATATTACATTGCATGCAAAGAACCATAAGCCTCTCTAGTTTCATGAGGAAAGACTATCAGCAAGTGCACATGCTGAGTGACACACAGTGGAAAATTTTCATGTCTCTATAATAACACTGCTATTTGAAATGATTATTAATGTAGAAACTATCAGCAGAAAAAAACATCAAGGAAAACTAAGTGAGAACTGGAAGAAGTCCAGTGAATGAAATAAAATGTTCACTAGAGTGGCTTAACATCAGCCAAAAGGTGATACAGCCATTGATCTTGAAGACTGATCAACAAAATTATCTATTTTGAGCAACAGACAAAAGACAGAAAAGAAGAGCCAGGGAGTTTGGGGCTAATACTGAATATGATATTTGCATTAGTAGACTACAAAAAGTAAATGAGAAATAGTGTGTACAAAAAAAAAAAAAAAAAGATTTTCAAGCAAGGGCTGAAAACTTTCTAAATCTAGCAG